TAAAAAAAAAACTTTTTCCCATATTGTGGATCCAATTCAATCTTTTACTATGACCATGGAATAAAAATTAAAACATTAAAACAAAACAGAGCAAGACATAATAGGGTATTACAATTAATGATGGGATCATGAATGGGTCACCAGAATCTGCCTAGTTTTACAGACAATATAGCAGAATTTAGGTACCAAGAAACTTCATCCTACTGATCTGATAGTAAAAGCAGTACATAAAAGAGATCAGATTTTCCTTGTAAGGCAAGGAGTTATAAAATGAGTCCGCGAGTCCTTATATAGGGTGCAATATAGTAGGGTGTTCTCAATTATTAGGTAATTGAGGTAAACAGATGTGTTCTGTACAATAGTGATAGAATAAGAGAACAGAAAAGACATTTGCAGATGTAAACAGCTTGTATTGATTTTTAATTTATTATTATTATTATTATTATTATTAGATAACTAACTAGTATTAAAATGAAAATAAATTATATTTTTCTTAATAAATTGGAATCTTATGGAAATATCTTTTCTGTAACTATGAATTAATTATTGAGCTCAAGAATAAAATGTAACTTTTCCTTTGATGTAGGACCCAATGTCGTCCTTAAACATAGAAGAGTTGGGCAAACGGGAGAGCACAATTCCTCCAGAATACAGGAAATTATTGGAGGTATAAACTACTCAGTGTTATGTTTCAGCAAATTTCCTATAAGGCACATTGCTTAAAATATTATCACAAACATACTTTTCTTTTTCAGAGTAAAGTTGGTGATAAAATAACTTTTCCATCAGTTGCAGTGGGAGAATCACAGGTATGGTTAATTTGTTCAGCACAAAATGTGAACATAGACAATTATTACTGTTCTTTACATATAAAGTTATCCATGTTTTTTTCAAACACAAAACAAATAAATAGGTTTAGACACATATAATAGGACCATGCAGTGGTTTGGATTTAATCTCTAATTGATGATCTGAAGCACACGGTATTTGCAACACCTTAAAATTTTTGGGTGATTCTGAGAAAAGATGCTTCTGTTTTAGGATGTTGCAGTCAGCTACTCCAAAACACCTGAAAATTGAATCTACTATTTAATCACAGAGAAAACTGATTTGTTGGGATGAAACCAATTTACTATATATAAATAGTCATGGTCTTATACAAGTGACTAACTCAAACTACTAGAAATGGGCAGGTTTAAATGATTTGTTTGACACATAAAAGTGGATAGTATTATTTTTGTTGAATTCAATGAATAATCTCTAGAATTTGATACAGAATGTTATATAGAAAAGGTTTTGTACTTTGAGTGGTATAAATACAGTGATTTTTTTATATGGACAAGAATTGTGGATTCAGACTATAAGGTATGCCTTTTTCATTCTAATATAAAATATATAGGGCATAGTCGTTGAATAAAATTCAGAATTCCTTTTAATTCTGTAATTATATTTCAAAATCTTTTGCTAAGTTAAGGCATGTTGGTGACTAATTCCAGAAAAAAATCAGTCAAGACAATCAAGATCACGTGAAGTGTTAATACCACTCTACAATGCTTTGGTAAGGCCACACTTGGAATACTGCATCCAGTTTTGGTCACCACGATGTAAAAAAGATGTTGAGACTCTAGAAAGAGTACAGAGAAGAGCAACAAATGATTAGGGGACTGGAGGCTAAAACATATAAGGAATGGTTGCTGGAATTGGGTATGTCTAGTTTAACTAAAAGAAGGATGAGGGGGGACATGATAGCAGTGTTCCAATATCTCAGGGGCTGCCACAAAGAAGCGGGAGTCAAGCTATTCTCCAAAGGACCTGAAGGCAGGACAAGAAGCAACGGATGGAAACTAATCAAGGAGAGAAGCAACCTAGAACTAAGGAGAAATTTCCTGACAGTAAGAACAATTAATCAGTGGAACAACCTGCCTCCAGAAAGTTTTTAAGAAGAGACTGGACAGCCATTTGTCTGAAATGGTATAGGGTTTCCTGCCTGAGCAGGGGATTGGACTAGATCAGTGGTTCTTAACCTTTTTGAACGAATCGCCCCCTTGAGCCAATGAGGAAGTTGTCATCGCCCTCCTCCCCCAACATAACCTCTCAATCACAACTTTGCAATACTGCAGACCTCTTAAAATGTGAAATGAATTTATATAAACTTTCATTTCTCTCCCCCAGAATAAAGTTAATAATTTTGTGGATGTGAGGGCTGGGCAAGGTTTGAATATTCAGAGACTTT